AGTCAGGACTATAGTCGGCACTATAGTCAGGACTATAGTCGGCACTTTAGCCAGGACTATAGTCAGCACTATAAACAGGACTATAGTCGGCACTATAGTCAGGACTATAGTCGGCACAATAGTCAGGACTATAGTCGGCACAATAGTCAGGACTATAGTCAGGACTATAGTCAAGACTAAAGTTATGACTACAGTCGACACTATAGTCATGACTACAGTCGACACTATATCCACGACTATAGTCGACACAATAGTAAAGATTATATAAAGTCAAGTCTTATAAAGTTATATGAGCCATTATAACGAAGACTATAGTCGGAACTCCTTATAATCAATGAATTAAGTAAGCTATTCAGAGTTTATAACAAAGACAAAATATATAATTCAGATTTCGTCTTAATACTCGGGAAATGATTTACATATTTAAACGATTATTTAAAACATTCTGAAAAGATCGATCGATGGTCATATAGGTTTATATAAAAGTTGTTTATGTTCATTTCCATTGCATGAATCTAACATATATTCTTTAAGGGGACCATATAAGGGATCCAGGTTCAAAGGGTTCAAATCTGTTCAGTTTTAGTTTCTATTGCAACTTTGATATTTTTATAATCTCTTCTAATTAATAGTTTTTATGTCAAACAAGAAAAAGAAGTAGAAACTTTCTCACTTTTCTCAATTTAACACATTTTGTAATATAATTAAAATTTCTGAAAATTTTCTTTTAAAAAAATTTGTGTCAAATTGTTAATTCTAATTTTCACCACAAAACCACTTCTAATTTATACAAATATGTAGTAATTGTCATTATTTTGTAGTAATTTGTGTTGTTCGAATTTGTTTTTTCTATAATGTGAAGGTACAAAATGTCACACTCAACACCTTGTCATTTGAACAACTTTAAGTTAAACTCCCTTTCCCTATGCGAATAACAATAATAGTAACAACTACAATAACAATAGTATAAACCTATATTTATAAACCCAAAAAAGGTTAATTTACACATATGTATGTCTGTACTCAATTACACAGTTACAAACATACATATATGTATATGCACTGCATAAATTAAGACTAAATAGAAAATTAACACAAAAAAAACAAGTAAGAAAGTGTTGGTGGTCCAGCACGACTATATAATAACCTACAGTGCTTTGGGGAAGTGGTTCTAAAAAGTTCTGTGGATCATCTAGAGTTCTAATATATTACTTAACATCTTGAATCTTAAACTGAATTCCGAAAGAAGCCATATTAGCTCTTCTGTCAGGTCCAAATATTATAATAACGGTATGTACAAGAAATTTAAGTCTATCAGTATAATTTTCCGATGATTGCCCTCGACTGGGGTCTTAAGGCAATTTTGAGCTGATTTCTGCTGATATTTATAGGTCAAATGTAAATGTTAAAGTCATTTTCTAAAGTGACACCTTGTAAGGGTGGTAGGGTCAAATGTTATATTGCTGTAGGGTATAAAAAGTCTTCTTATATATGACTACTACCGTGAAAAATAAACAAAAAAATTACAACAAAACTTAGAAAAGCAAAAAAATATGTGAAAAATTTTAAGAAATGTGAATAAATAACAAAATAAAATAAAAAAGTTAAACAAACAAACCAAAACAAAAAAAATATATATATTTTTTAGTCACAAGCATCATCATCATACATGTATGAAAATGACTAAATCTAATATGAATCTATGAATACATACATATGTAAGTAAGTATGTCTCATTGTATGTATGTATTTTTATATAAATATAGTACTACTTACTATAAAACTAACAGATAGATATAAACACAGACGAAAAGACAGACAGACAGACAGACAGACAGAATAGAGTTGAATTTTAACTTTCTTTTGCACACATTGGACGCAGAGAAGTAGTGGAGAAAAAAAAAGTAAAAATAAAATGTAATAAAACGGGTATCATCATCATCATCACAGAAATTTCATACAAAACTTCCATACAATAACAACATTTGGAGTCCACAGAGTTTCAAAAGAATTGCTAGATATTTTGTAAAGACAAAACTAAAAAAGTCAAAAGGTTTGTGGGACAATTAAAAATTGGTATTTTGTTTTTATATATACAGACATGTGTATGTACATAATTCTTAATTTGTTAATAATAATTATGTACATACATATACTTTCTAAATAATTTTTGACAAAAAACACGCACATATTTAAATACAATTTGAAAATCAATAATTTGAGAGAAGTCCATTCGTAAAAATTTGTACTTTTACTTTTACCCAATTTCTTAAAAAAGTCTGTAGTATACCACAACTTCTAGACAACCAATTCTTAATTAAGTCGAACTTAAGTTCTTACATAAGTAATCAACAATATGCATATTAACGTGTTTCTATACCCTTCAACCTTATAATGCGCACTTTTTGTAGCGATATTTTAACACCCAAAAATAATTGTCATATCCAATACAACAGACATTTTCTAAAATCGGCTCATAATTGTGTTTATCTCCCAAATAAATATCCCTCCAAATGTCCTACACCACTTTAGTAGGGAGCTATGTCCGTCCATCCATGTAAACCTTGTAATCAAACTACAGGTCGCATTTTTAAAGATAATTCAATGATCTTTTGGTACATGATCTCTTATTGTCTCAGTGACGAAGCCTATTGAAAATGGTTATGATCGGTCCATTATTTCACCTAGCCACCATACAACTGAACCCCCGAAAAGGGCTTGTAAATGATCATGATTCTATTGTACTAGAGAATCCTATTGAAAATGGGTAACATCGGTCCAATATTTGACCTAGCCCCCATACAACTGAGACCCCCGAATAGGGATTTAAGTTCATTATATTCAATTATGTTCAATAAACTCTTATCTCGACAAAAAGCTGCAAAACCAAGTTACTCGCCTCCATGACCCTGATGAATTTTTTTGATGATAGAGCCTCATTTAACCTTCGCCTCTATACAAAGTTCCCTTCGAAATATGACTTAAATGTATTCAACAAAAAATGGCTAAAGTATATCTGAGACCAGGTACAATTCCACTTAAATGCTTTATTATGAACACTAAATCATATTTTATTTTTATAACTGGTGTAGGGTATTATATGGTCGGATTACTTGGGACATACGTGAAGCCGAAACGACATCAGCTTTATGTTGATCTGATGCTCCGTAATGGTATCAACTTCATGCTAAGGAACAGATGGATAAGCTGGGAGATGTATGATATAACTTTTAGGAAAAGGATATTTCGCGGTACACCATAGGTAGACATTTTGTCCCCTTTACTCTAGGTAACCTAGTAAGGACTTAGACCTTTTTGTAGGCGATGTCGTAATACATATAAGCGGAAAGGATCCAAATTACTTGTGCAGAATGGCTAAGAGGCTCTGTATACGGCATTGAGCTAGGCTCAACCTAGAGCCTTAACCCGGCGAATACGGAAATATGTCTTTTCACAAGAAAGGCAAACATTTCTAAGTATATTGAACCCTGGTTTCCTGGGCATGAAGACACCGGTGACCGACAGAGTGAAGTACTTAGGTGTAATCCTTGACCGGAAATTAAGATGGAGGAGCCACATAGAGTATTGGATTAACAAGGCACATCCGTGCTGGGCGTTATGTAGGAGACCATTAGACCAATTCTATGTTATGCTTCAATAATGGAGTTCTTTCATCGGACGTGCTCGATCGCATACCAAACACAAAATATGTCGAGAACTTTGGAACACTGATCTGATATAGAATGTTATGGTCGAGCAGAACATTTAAGGAAATACACGTATGAATCCGTTGCTACACGGATAGCTCTAATTTGGGAAACAAAGCGGGCCTGTGGTTGTGTATTGAAGATCCACAAACTGAACCTTGTGCTGGGATTAACCTCAGAGGCCTCAATGTTCACCTGGCAAAGACGGAAACAGGTCTTTTCACAAGAGAACCATAGGCATGAAATGGAAGCTTAGTCCTACTATGACATATTGGCTTAATAAAAATGTCATTAGACCAATTCTATGTTATGCTTCAATAATGGAATTCTTTTCTCGGACATGCTCTATCGCATACCAGACATAAAATATGTCTGGAACATTGGAACACTGGTCCCAAATGAAACATTAAAGCTAATACCCGTAGGAATCCGTTGCTACACGGATGGCTTTAAATTGAGGAACAAAGCGGACCTAGGGTTCTATATTGAAGACCCAGAAACTGAAATGTACTACTGTTTAGCTAATCAAAATACTAGCTTTCAGGCAGAAGTCGGAGCAATAACGGTATACGTTATTGATTAAAATAAATATAACCCCAACAGAGATAAACATATTTACCGACAGCCAGAAGGCAATTAGGGCGATATCAGGTGATAAAGTTTAATCTAAGACCGTATTGGGTACCAGGCCATTCGGTAGTAGTCAGCAACGAAAGGGCGAATGTATTAGCTTTATCAGCTCTACTGTGCGCAGTAAGAAACGAATGTGCATAAATATTTTGAATGTAATTATGTAAGCTCATAATAACAGCGAATTAATTCTTTTCAATCCCTGTTTATTTACACTGTCACACTGTGTAGTGCACAATAGCTGGAGTAAAGTGTAGTTGAAATGAATGATCTTGTACGTATGTATGTAGCGTATAAAATTGAAATAAAAAATATACCAAGAGTGTTATGAGAAATTTCACATACGAAACCACCACTGTGGACAGTGGCAACAACTGCAACAGCAGCAATAACAGCAGTAACAGCCGTCACTGTTGTTAGTGGATTTCTTAAAAATACGAAAAAAAAACAAAAACAACAAGTAAAAAAATACGATAATAAATAAATAAAACTCTATATATGTACAGATGTATCTAAAAGATGAAAAAAGTAAAGTAGAGGCAGGCAAGCAGACAGTAGTCTGCAGCAGCAGAGTTAAAGTCAGCGTTAGTATATGAATAAATATGTTTGTTAAATGAATAATAAAAGTATAAAAGAAATGTTTATCTGGTTGTATGTACGTACATATTGCAGGGAGGGAATGTTTAACAAAAACAAAAATGTAGACACTTGCTCCAAGAGACAGGGAGATACAATTTTCTTTTCTTCTTCTTGTTCGTCTTTCTAGCATACAAGCAGCAGACTTGCAATGGAACTTGTTCGATTTGTGGATGTTAAATATTTTCTTTCTATTTTTTCTTAAACGATCTTTTGTTTCTTTTCTTTTTTAGGCAATAATTTCTTTTTTTTATGTTGAAATTTAGTTTTAAAGAGAATTTCTTAGATTTTGTTATTAATTAAATAATTTGTTATTAAAGAACTTAATCTTATGTATAATAGTAAATTTATTTTTTTCTTATTTAATTTTATTCACTTGTATTTCTACGACACACTCTCACAAACACCATTTAAAAAGATTCGTAAATTTTTTATTTTATTTTAAGAATTAGAATCCTAAAAACGTAATAAAATGTAAAATTGTTAGTTAGCCGCTTTTGTTTGAAATTTATTTGTTTGACGGTTAAAATTCTAATTTGGAGAATTTTTTTGTAAACCTTTTGTTTTTGTAGCTTTTCTCGTTTTGATTTGTTAATTATTTAATTAATTGGTATTTATTTGTATTTCGACGTTTTTCTTTGTTTTGCGTTTTGGTTTTTATCCGCTTTTAAGTTCACTCAATGGCAACGTTCGACTCGTAACTGTTGTTGTTGAATTGGCAACATTATGTTAAGGCCGGTTCGTTAACAAAATATACACAGATACTCCAATACATATATACGTTCGCTTAAAGCCAAATACGGATAGACTCTCACTTTACCAACCAACACAATAACAATTTCCACTTGCAGTTTGTTTTGTTTCTTTCTTATTTTTTCGTTAAAGCTAGACTTTTGTAATAGTTGCCAGATAATGGGGAAAACTTTTAGGGCGGGATTTCGGGGTAACCAAACTTTGAATATACATACTCATCTGGAACAGCATTTCCTACAATCTCTCTCACTCTGGTGGACTTTTTTGTACAAAAATTGTGGCATCATACCTCTACAGGGAGTTTAGCGTACATGTTGCTTGGACATAATAAAGTGGATCCTACGACCAAAGCTTTAGAAATAGTCGTGGATATTTCCCAATCGAAGGTTCTGCTCTTAGCCGAGCGATTCTAACTTAATACAGGTAAATTAACTAAAGGTTACAACATCTGTACACACCGAAGATATTGGACGGTTTTATAATAACATCGATCGAATATAAGAGACAGAAGTTGCCGAAAATTTCGATTGGAGCTAACAACCATGTGAATCCGCCATTACACGGTTGTGAAAATTTAGATATAATGTAAGTGGGGTTCTCTATTGAAACCAAAATATATAAGGGTTTCCGATACCCAAAGGACAATAAAGGCCCAGTTAGAGGATAGATTTAGTCTAAGATTATATTAGACTCATAGTCTAATATAATCTTAGACTTAGAATGCGATTATCAAAGTGAAAAGCTCTGTATTACATGTTTACTTCAAGACTATATCGGTTAAAGAAGAAGCTTAAGTTGGGTTGATGTATACTACATCAGATCCGAAGAAATATACGTCGGCCGAGTAGAGACATAACATTAACCTTACATAATGCTCTATTAAAGCTTTATCTCTTAAGAAACTCAGTGTCTTTTAAGTATGTAATATCTAGAATAACATTGCTCCCAAGAGATTTGAATGTAATTTCGTCGAATCCTTAGCAATGATATAGAAAGTTCTCTAGAGATTCACTGTCCCGTAAGCATGCTCTAATTCGTCAGAATCCCTTCGTTCAATTTTGTATAGTTGTATCCGTAATTTTGTGTGTCGACAAAGAGGATAATAGATTAGAACACAAAAATCTCTCAAATGATAGGAAAACATGAAGGCCTCCTTAGTTGGAGCAATCTCGAGTTTAGTCTATTTTAATCAAACACTCCAATATGGATGAGCGGAATCTGGCGAATGCAGAGCATGTCGTGAAGAATGACTTTCTTTGTCTTTGTTGAAATAAGATCCAAATACCTAGAGAGTGATGTTATGCTGGATATAACATCTCTTGAAGCATTGTGAAGAAAAAGGCACCCCTACCATCTCTGCTGGAAGACATCATGAACGAAGTATGTTCAGAAAGAACAGGAATCACATGTAGTCTCTCATACCAAATCAAAGATTTGGATGATCTCCATACTATTAGAAGATTAGTGTTAGCATAGAATTCTCAAGACTCAAGAAGCCGTGGTCGTCTAAAGAATACAAGAAGATTCACGATACTTAAAGGAAGATCAGCACAAACTTTCATAGGAAAGACGCAGTAGAACAACGATAGCACTCGCATGGAATTCTCAAGACCCAAGAAGCCGTGGTCGTCCAAAGAATACACGATGCTTAAATGAAGGTCAGTGCAAACTTACATGGGAAAGACGCGAAAATAACAATGTGAGATGGAGATGCTTTGTAGAAGCCATATGCTCCCAAGAGGGGTAAGAAGAACATTGATTGAAAGCTATTAAAGAATTGAGTCGAAGATACTTAGTTTCTGAACCTTTTAAATTTATATCAGAACAGCGATTTTGATACAATTAGGGAAATATTTCTGCCAAATTTAAGCTTACTAGGCGAAAGGATGGACTTCATGTTCTATATTTTTTGTATTAGCAATGTTGATCAAATATTTCTGATTCCTTTTCCGTGAGATCTACCATACGGTACCGATGTTTATCAAATATTTCCGATATTTTTAATTCCATCTTCGTGGGCATAAAGCATAGCACATCGATAGAACTATTTTCATATATTCAGATTCAGTTTTTTTACTGTTCCTTCCCCTTAAGTCATCGACTCTACATCTTGGATCTCTTACATAATCCCCCGCCAAATTCTCATACTTAAAAAAGGTTATTACTATTATCTGGCAATATTAAAATGAACTTACATTAATAATACACACACTACTCGCTTGGAATGTTCACACATGTAAAAACTTTGCTTTTGGCAGTTTTCTAGCGTAGTATTATTGTTGTTACTGCTGTATTTGTGGTGTTTATTGGCCATAAAGTGAGATCATCTAACCGACAAAAACCCATCATACAGCACAAAAACAAACAAATACAGCACAAACAGCGAAGTTCCAGCATCTACGAAACGAGAAAAATAAATAAATATTTACCAAGCAATTTTATGAGTACCGACTTACAATACATTCACTTGTTTTGCTCTACTCATTTTTTGGTGTCGATTTTTCTTCGTTTTTGACGTTTACAGAGAGAAACCAATACGATCGTAATAAACAAATATTGTGGTGGTTGGTGGTAGTAAAGAGTTTTTGTTATTAGAAGAATTGCCAACTGGAAAAATTTTAAATTACAATAGTTGTTCTCTTGCTTTATTCTTTCTTCTCTCTTCGTTTTGTTGAATGCATTTTTGTTTTGTTTATTTTTATATAGAGCTCTGGGATGAATAGAAAAAAATTTCAAACATTTTGGGTGCAGTTTTTTAAATGCATATTTTGTAAAACTTTTCAGTGCTACCATACTAATAATTATATATATTCCCTAAGAATTCGGGAACTTTAAAACAACTTAAAATATCTAATTCAAAAAAGCACTATTTTTGTAAAAGTAAATTGATTCTCATAAAATACAAAAATAAAATAGAGAAATTACAAAAATTTTAATAAAAGAAATTGAAAATGTTTAAAGAACAAACATAAAAGATTGAAAATGTTTCAGAAATTATTGTAAACGCTGCAAACATTTTTAAATAATTTAAATGTATGTTTTTGTTAGAATAATATTGCATTTCCAGGATAATAACTCTAATACGTATGTGTATGCATGTGTCTTAAGTCTATTGTTTGCCTCTAGTGCAGTGGAGCTCAAATACATACTATCATAGCTTTATTTGTATTGGTAAAGTAGCAGATAAAAAAATAAACTCAAAATAAAAGTATACTAATAAAATAACTGCCATTTATATAGTACATGATTACTGCCAAATATTTATTATGGATTTTGACAGCCTATATATAAATAATTTCAATTGTTCTCCCTCATTCTCCTACATTAATTCGGTACTTTTCTAAACTTTTAATAAATATTCTACATACTAATCAATGGACCAGTCTATAGTGTAGTCTATAATATATTCTATAATATACTTAGTCTACAGTCTAGTTTGTAGTCTATACTAATTTTCCGCTATATATAGACTAAACTAAAGACTAGACTATAGAATAGACTATAGACTAGACTATGGACTAGACTATAGACTAGACTATAGACTAGACTATAGACTAGACTATATACTAGACTATAGACTAGACTATAGACTAGACTATAGACTAGACTATAGACTAGACTATAGACTAGACTATAGACTAGACTATAGACTAGACTAGACTAGACTAGACTATAGACTAGACTATAGACTAGACTATAGACTAGACTATACTATAGACCAGACTATAGACTAGACTATAGACTAGACTATAGACTAGACTATAGACTAGACTATAGACTAGACTATAGACTAGACTATAGACTAGACTATAGACTAGACTATAGACTAGACTATAGACTAGACTATACTATAGACTATAGACTAGACTATAGACTAGACAATAGACTAGACTATAGACTAGACTATAGACTAGACTATAGACTAGACTACAGACTAGACTACAGACTAGACTATAGACTAGACTATAGACTGGACTACAGACTAGACTATAGACTAGACTATAGACTAGACTATAGACTAGACTATAGACTAGACTATGGACTATACTATAGACTAGACTATGGACTATACTATAGACTAGACTACAGACTAGACTATAGACTAGACTATAGACTAGACTATAGACTAGACTATAGACTAGACTAGACTATAGACTAGACTATAGACTAGACTATAGACTAGACTACAGACTAGACTATAGACTAGACCATAGACTAGACTATAGACTAGACTATAGACTAGACTATAGACTAGACTATAGTCTAGACTATAGACTAGACTACAGACTAGACTATAGAACAGACTACAGACTAGACTATAGACTAGACTATAGACTAGACTACAGACTGGACTATAGACTAGACTATAGACTAGACTATAGACTAGACTACAGACTAGACTATAGACTAGACTATAGACTAGACTATAGACTAGACTATATACTAGACTATGGACTAGACTATAGACTAGACTACAGACTAGACTATAGACTAGACTATAGACTAGACTACAGACTAGACTATAGACTAGACTATAGACTAGACTATAGACTAGACTATAGACTAGACTACAGACTAGACTATAGACTAGCCTATATACTAGACTATAGACTAGACTATAGACTAGACTACAGACTAGACTATAGACTAGACTATAGACTAGACTATAGACTAGACTATATACTAGACTATGGACTAGACTATAGACTAGACTACAGACTAGACTAAAGACTAGACTATAGACTAGACTACAGACTAGACTATAGACTAGACTATAGACTAGACTATAGACTAGACTATAGACTAGACTATAGACTAGACTATAGACTAGACTATAGACTAGACTATAGACTAGACTATAGACTAGACTATAGACTAGACTATAGACTAGACTATAGACTAGACTATAGACTAGACTATAGACTAGACTATAGACTATAGACTAGACTA